TTTCAATAATGAGCAAATGCGGAACATCGCTGAATTGTACTCGTTTACTGTTTTGAAATCTTGGAAGCGTAAATGCATCCACTCATAACGAGCCGGGGGAGAATCACCGTTTTCTGGTGATCATACCTTTCTTTCAAGGCTTTTCATAGATCTGCAGGATCTTTAACAATTAAATATTCATTTTTCAATGCCTCATTCAAATGATGCCTCAGAAATATCATTGCTTTAGCTTTATCCTGTATTGATGAATCATTTGGGGAGATTATTGTTTTTTCCAATCCCCTTGCCGCCAAATGAATTTAGGCATCCAATGTCCATGAGATATAATTTTTCCCAGATATATCGAGAGCTTCAAATTCGAGTTTGACCAGATTTACCATGATAACTATAAAATAAAACATCAATGCTTAGATTCGAAAAATTACATATACAATCATTAATTCTTCAAGACGTACAAAAGAGCAAATACTAAACACATTATACAAAGGCCTAATACATAAAATTTAAATCCAACAGTACGATACATCATCGTGAAAATTAGCAAAACGTATATAATAAACAAGATAATGGTAATTATAAGTAATGGATCAAACAATTTTTTTTCTTATAAAGAAAATATATTTTTGAGTGTTTAGATTATGAAGATGAATTGTAGTGTTATATAGAGATATTGGTAAATAGCCGTTACAAAAATAACCGTTAACTAGCCGTTGGAAACAAATTTAATGATATAATATTTGCTAATTAATCATTTATAATCATAAAATTCTAATTAATCATGTATATTACCTTAAAGATTTTTCTGAATTGTTTGATGAACATTTTGGTGAATATAACAAAGCAAGTAAAAAAATGCTCCACATTATTTGATAAATTTTACGGTGAGTACAAGAATAAACAGTTATAAATTTCACGCCACATTACCGGGTAAACCATTTTGTGGGTGTTAAGTATAAGTAATAATATTTTTTATTATAACTTGAATAATAATTCATAAACAAATTTAATAATATCATCTTACCACATATTATTGACTATGGCATAACCTAATTTGTCAATAATAATGGTAATGTGTAAATAATATCATATTTAGTATATTCATACCACATACCCTTGAATGTGGCAGAGCCTAATTTGTCAAGAATAATGGTAATATGTATATATATATCATTGACTGTGGCAGAGCCTAACTTGTCAAGAATAATGGTAATATGTAAATTAGTGAAGTATAATACATATACATATATATATTATTATTATTATATTCCTACCTTTCGTGACCGGGTAGAGCGCTCGTGCTGATAACGTGTTATAAAATGCGAGGAATATAAAGAACACAATGTAAAAATCGGATATAAATCAAAAGATGCTATTTCTCTTTCTCTTTTCAGTACAAACTTTACAAAGTCGAAGGTACCCTTTTATAGGCAAATTGAAAACCTACTAGTACACACTTCAAGGAACAAGATAATATTAATATTAACATTGGTGGTAATTCCACATATTTATAATAAAACCAAACTTGTACAAATAATTGAATCATACATAGGCTAGTTGAAAACCAAACCAAACCAAACTAAACCAAACGAAACCAACATATTTATAATAAAACCAAACTTGTACAAATAATTGAATCATACATAGGCTAGTTGAAAACCAAACCAAACCAAACCAAACCAAACCAAACCAATAATGCAAGACATTGAAAATCAAAGCAAACCAAAACTAATTAAAAACCCTTTGCCAAACATAGGCCTTTGGACCAATTCTTTAACAAAAAGATGCCATCTCTCTCATACCGCTTTATCTCCTATTTCTTGCCATTAAAAGTTGCGCCTAAAATCATTCATTCAATTGCTTGCTCGTTCCCTAATTGTAGGGCCCCTCAAACAAAAACAACATTATGTTTTGGTGAGTGGGCTACACACACACACACACACTAGAGGTGGGCTGCGTTGGTCACATCGAAACAATGAAGAAAAATGGGTAAATATGACTAAAAGGCACACACACACACACACTAATACACACACTAAAACGGGACGACTGGTGTAGATGGACCGGACCTCAAAGTCCAATATCCAATTCGCTTTAATTCTCCTACCCCAACAATTATAATAAAACCTTATCGCAATAAACCAAACCCCAATAAAAAAAAATAGGTCCAATTGTGAAGCCCAATTCTACTTTCTCTCTCCTCTTTTCTCTCTCTCCATCCTCCAAACCCTAGATCTGGGAAGCTGGGAATCGCCGGAGATCGCCGGATAGTTTATCTCAGGAGTTATCTGGGTAAAAATTTCGTCTTCACTGTTATGATTATGGTTGAGATTTGTTACGGGATCTTTCGTTTCGTTTTTTGTTTTTTTAATTTATTTTCTGATTAGCTCTTTCGATATTTTCGTGATGAAGTATATCTATATATATATATATTAAAAAGTTTTTCTGGCGCGTTTTGTTGGTCTGTGTCTCTTTTGTAGCCGTAATGAACTTGAAGTTCAAGATCTGTTATGAATCTATCCTTTTTTTCTGTTCGAGAATGTTGTTTCTGGGTGTGTAAAATAATGAAGCCCATGGCTGATTACGTTAGATCTGGTTTGGTTTGGAGTTCTCTGTATATGGGCTTTTCTTGTTTCGTTTTGTTTTGTTTTGTTTTAGACGTGCGTTATAGGTGAAATTCTGGACTTTTGACTCTTGGAAATGAGTATTCTTATGTGATAGGGTTAAAGTTTACTGGTTTATTTTGGAAAGGTTGTACTTTGGAAAGGTTGTAGTGTATATAAGATGGTATATTGAGATCTTATATCATTTGGCTTAGTTGGGTGAGTGGACAATGAAAAATATGTTAATTGCAAAATGGCCCATGAAATTCGAGATATTTACTAAAGAATGGGCTATTTGGAAGTGACGTGTGAGGGAAGTGATGTGTGAGGATGATTGATTAATATTATTTAATTATTTATAATATTGAAGGGTTAGTTAAGTTAAATTTGAGTTAAAAAAATTATCTGGTAAGATATTTTATAACCAGGGCCTACATTAATATTAGGGCACCTTCGAATTGTTTAATTTTATGCATAGTTCTGAAAACCGTACCGGCCGGTTCAACCCATTAAACCGCCTAGTGATTGTACTGGTCAAAAACCGTTCGAACCGGTCGGAAACCGGTTGAAGTGGTGAACTGGGACCGTCGAATGGATCAACGGTTCAAGTTTTTGAATTTGAAATTAGTAGATTGTGAAGTGATTTAAATAACACACATTTTTACTTGCGTTTTTTAATGTGGGATATGTTTTCTTGCTAAAATTATTGGGCCAATATTGGGCCTTATAAGAAATATCTTACACATTAAGAAAATGTAGTATTTTTAAATTGGACTATCATTGGGCTATATTTCCAATTTATTAGAAAATAAATAAGCAAATTATTGGTATTTGTTATGTATATTATTTTTATTTTTTAATTTTTTTATCAATAATAAAAAATTTAAAATGTGATTTAAAATGAAATTAGGGTTGTTTCTATTCTTTCTATTTTGTAACTTAAATATAGATTAAAATTTTAAATATAAAAAATAAAATAAAGAAAATGTTATAAACATTAATCAAGTTGTATCTATTATTGAATTATTATTTAGAGAAATGTCATACATTGTAAAATTATTAAAATCAATGATAAAAATATATATAATTATATATTGTACATATAAAATTAATAAAAATTATATATTAATTAAACCTGTTCGACCGGTTCGACCATGGTCCGACCAGTGAACCATTGAACTAGTAGCTACACCGGTTCGATTCGGTTTTGAGAACCATGGTAAAATGTTATGAGAAATAAAACCTAAGGCCTATGCCTCCCCCCTAGTTCTTCAAGTCAATAGATGTGTTGTAATTAGCTCTTAGATACAACTAAAACCTTTGAGTTTTCCTTGATTATCCCTATAAAATAAAAATTAAGAGTTTGATCAAGGTTCTTGATGGAGCTGGCAATAATTTGGCTTCTGGGTCCTTGGCCCTCCCTTCGGGCCTTGAGAGTTCAATATTGTCTTCTACTTATTATTTGGATAGAATTCCAACCACTTCCAAGGAACTGAATCGTTGCATTATCTCCATAAATGTGGGAAGCAAATTTTTGGTTCTGTTTCTGATATGCAACTTCGTGGCCAAACATTGCATCCTCTTTAGAGTGATACTTTCTTTGAATGATAGAATTTCTTGTTCAATCTCTTAGATTTGGTTGGTTGTGTTTGCAACCTGTTTTTGTTACCGATTATTAGGGAAATCGTTATTCCTTGTCCTAATGTTTTCCCTGAAAATCTATATTGTGTTTGATATTGTAAGTGGTACATGTTTTCAATGGAAGGGGCATAATGGAAATGTGGGGAAGTTCTTATTTGTGAAGACATGAAATATGGACCCAAATTCTGAAATAGGTTGAGTGCTATTGGTGCATATTCCGATTTTCGTCTTGAGTAATACTATTGTCTGGGAGAATGGTGGGTACGAAACCTATATTTATTAACTATTCCAGTTGTTCACTGGAAGGTTCACTGGAAGTAATGCTTATTTATTCTAATTGTTTGTGTTGACTGTTGAGATGAATAATATCTCATATGAAAGACTCGAACTGAGATCTAGGCACGTCAATTGCATAGAACCTCTGAAACCAGTCTTTCGCTCTACGCGAACAAGGACATGTGTCTAGTGTTGCTAAGTTTTTTTTCTTGTTGTTTTCAAATCGTGGGCATCTCAGTTTAGGAGTATCTTCTACTTATCCAAATTATGCTGTGTTTTCATTTGTGGGCTTGTCGTACTTGGTGTTGATTGTTATTATGCACAGTCCATTCATTACCATGCTCAATTGATCTTCCCAATTAATCATACTAGCTTGGATTTATGCTGTTTCTTTCAGAAATATATTGCTTTTGGGTCTTGACACTTGAAATCTTGTTCAATTTATGCAGCATCATATAGTCAAGAATTCAGCATTCTTTGGAGATGGACAACGAGAATCCGGAGCCCATTATGAATAACGAACTCGTGGCGGTGGAGGAGACTCAAGCCATGGAGGAGATTCCAATCTTGGACTCTGAAATGCATCTTGAGATCTTGAATCATTCTAGTCAGCACAACCACCTTATCGAGATTGTGCCTCAGAACAGCGTCGAGCAGCCCCCACCCAAGCGCCGCAAAAAGAAGTCTGTCGTCTGGGAACACTTCACCATCGAGACGGTCGGGTCCGGCAGCAGGAGGGCCTGTTGCAAGAATTGCAAGCAGTCATTCGCGTACAGCACAGGCAACAAGGTAGCTGGCACCAGCCACCTCAAGCGCCACATAGCCAAGGGCAGTTGCCCCGTTGTCCTCCGCAACCAGGACAACAAGGACCCACACACCCCCTACAGCGCCCCCTCCAAGATGGGGCCTGCCTTCTCTTCTGACCCACCCAAGCAAAGACGCTATCGGACAGCCGGCGTCCCCTACATCGCCTTTGATGCTGACCGCTGCCGGCACGAGATTGCCAAGATGATTATTATGCATGATTACCCACTTCACATTGTCGAGCACCCTGGCTTCGTGGCCTTTGCCCAGAACCTCCAGCCTCGTTTCGACATGGTGAGCTTCAATACTGTCCAGGGAGACTGTGTTGCCACCTATCTTAAGGAGAAGCAGAGCATCCTCAAGGTGATCGAGGGCATGCCTGGGCGCGTCTGCCTCACTCTCGACCTCTGGTCCTCGTCCAATACCACAGGCTACGTCTTCATAAGCGGTCAGTTCATCGACAGTGACTGGAAGATTCACCGGAAGCTTTTCAATGTGATCATGGAGCCTTACCCCGATTCCGACACCGCCTTCAGCCACTCGGTAGCTGCGTGCCTTTCTGACTGGGGCATGGACGGGAAATTATTCTCTGTGACTATAAACCAGTCCCTGAGTGATGCTGCCATCGACAACCTGAGGGCTCTGCTTTCCGTGAAGAACCCGCTCGTGCTTGATGGGCAGCTGTTGGTCGGCAACTGTTTGGCTCGCTCCTTGAGCGCGATCGTCAATGAGGCCCTGGCTTCCGAGCGGGGCAGTGTAAAGAAAGTGAGGGACAGCGTGAAGTACGTGAAGACGTGGGAGGAACGGTTTGTGGAGCTGAAGCAGCAGCTTCAGGTGGGCAGCTCCAAGGCCCTGTTGATCGATGACCAGACTCGGTGGAACACGACTTATGAGATGCTGGTGGCTGCGTGCGAGCTGAAGGATGTCTTCTCCTGCTTGGGTGCATCCGACCCTGACTACAAAGACGCTCCCACTAGCGAGGACTGGAAGCAGGTCGAGACCCTTTGCAATTTCTTGAAACCCCTGTTTGAGACTGCCAACCTCCTCCTGACGGCGTCCAATCCCACGACAAACACATTCTTCCATGAGGCCTGGAAGATTCAGCTGGAGCTGGCGCGTGCAGCCACCAGCGATGATCCGTTTGTCAGCCGCCTCACCAAGCTGATGCAGGAGAATTTTGACAAGTACTGGAAGAGCGTGTGCTTCATACTGGCGATTGCAGTCGTCATGGATCCACGTTTCAAGATGAAGCTGGTCGAGTTCAGCTTCTCGAAAATATACGGAGAGGAGTCGGCGTCGTTTGTGAAGATCGTGGACGATGGGATACACGAGCTTTTCCTCGAGTACGTGGCCCTCGCGCTGCCTCTGAACCCGGAGGAAGCAAATGGCGGGGGCCTCGGCTCAGTCAAGTCCGAGGACCCCAGTGCGAGCAATGGGCTCGGGCTTACTGATTTCGATGCCTACATCATGGAGACCACGAGCCAGCTGGCAAAGTCGGAGCTGGACCAGTACCTGGAGGAGTCGCTCCTCCCACGTGTGCACGAGTTTGATGTGGTTGGGTGGTGGAAGCTGAACCGGATCAAGTACCCAACCCTCTCTAAAATGGCCCGAGACATCTTGTCTATACCGGTGTGCACGGTGCCTGCGGGCTCCGTGTTTGATACGGTGCGGAAGGAGATGGATAGCTATAGGTGCAGCTTGCGGCCCGAGACAGTGGAGGCTGTTATCTGTGCCAAGGACTGGCTACAGACATCGGCCGGGGGCCAACCGCCGTCAGTTGTGAAGATGGAGGTTCCTATCTAGAAGTGATTTTTCATTAGTTTTTCTTGTTTACTTAGGACTTTTTTTTTTAGTAGGGAGAGGGATGGATACATTGTTTTTTCTTTCTAGACTGTATGTATTATTATTACTGTGCATGATTCTGGATTTGGAGCTTTTTTGTTGTACAATGTCTGGAAAGATTGTTTTGCCTGCTGGATCTGTTATGACTTGTGTGCGGGTGTTTGTTGATGCCAATTCGCCCTCCGCGCTCGAATTTGTTCCAGTTAATTTTACTCTTCCGATTTCAACCCTCCCACTCCTCTCTCCATCCTCTTCCTCTCTGCTCTCGTTGCTAGACTTCATCTGCATCCTAGCCATCGAAATGATATTATATTGGATATTGTTTTATCAATCCAACAAAGGTTGATTTCTATTGTTCTGTCCGTTTGTTTTTCTCCACCTTCATTCAAGTTTCAGATTTGCTTCATCCTATTTACTTTCTAATTCAAAAATTTATCTAGACTTTCTCAATCTATAGTTAGTTTTTATGTTTGGTAATAACCATAAAGCTACGTATACCTTATTTGGTTAGTTTATAACCTTTCGATATACAAATAAACTTAGTTCGCTCGGATGAACTTTTTGAAATACCCCAGCCGGCCCAGGATGCATACAACTGGTTCAGACTGGTCCAGGGGCGGTCCAGCTGGTTTGGAGAGCTCCGGTGAATCCGCGACAAGTCCGAGATGGCCCGAGATGGTTGGTGAACGATCCGGTGATTAGCAGGACAAGTAGCCAAACGGATTCGAGGTTTCAGACGATCTCCAACAACGGAAATCAGAAACGTCTCAGATTCGGCAAAAATTAAAAACGGTACGCGTTGAACCTCGCTTCTAGTTCCGCTGTGCTTAGAGTTTATTTCATAGATAGTCCGTGACTTGCACATTATCGAGATCCTTATAGATCCCAACAAAAATACCCATAAAAATACCTCCTAAATAGACTGCACAATAATGTTAGACTAATTGCACAGTAGTGTCTGCTTTAGCGCACATTATCAATATTGGTATTTTATATATTATGGTTATTCAACTAAAAATAATATAAATATATTTTATACAAAAATATTAAAATACTAAATATATTTTCATAGTATAAATAATAAATTATTTTGAATATTTAGGGTAATTTAGTTAATCTGTAACACCCCGCTATTTTATAAATATCAGAGTACGCTTTTTCGCAAATTTTCTGAATGAATTTAATAGAATATTTATTTTTGCGAAAACTGATTCGGAGTGTTACCGTGAAAATCTGACTTTTATCTGAAAAAACGTTAATGTTTAGAATAATAAAAACGGTTATATAATGTATTAACCGACTACTGTCGGATCAAAAGCTGAGTTCAAGTACTGAAAACTGAAGCGAAAATGTAGCGTAGCCAAAACATAGTTTATACATAACAAAACATAACAAATGTCCTGAACAGCTCGTCAGCTCACTCCTCGTCCCCGACCCTGTGACCTGAAAAACATGAGATAAGTGGGGTGTGAGCACTATAACACTGTGCTCCGTGGAAACTCATACTAAAGTAAAACAGTGAAAATAATAACAATATCATGATCCTGGCATATATAACTGAACTGAACTGATAACTGATATCTGATACCGGTCTGAATAATCTGATACTAATCTCGTGACATAAGTCACCTGTCTGAAACTGAACATCTGCCGGCAAAGCCGGACACCATGTGCACACTCTAGTGGGCAGATTAGGGCCACTAGAACCCAGAATGGACCGGCAACCATTCCGAGCGGATACTGAATATACATACCTCAAACATGGTAGAGTAATTATAATCAATGTAGTACTTAGTCTGAGTCCTCACCTGAACTGCTGAAAATGCAGGTAGTGCTGATGCCTGATCAAATTGAAAAATAATATAAACAATTACTAAGGACTATGCTCAGACTGATAAATTAACTGATTAATTATGTTAAGATGCTCTACTCGACTTAACATGATTTTCAGACTTAATCGGTATAACTGGAACAGGTTAAGTACGGAACTGAACTGATATTAATTTACTGAACTGAACTGGCCCGGAACTTTAACTGAAAATGGTACTGAAATCGAGAACCGGACTGAAACAATGAAATATGGGCTGAACCGGTCCAACCGG